ATATCACAGATGATAGTAATGGGGTTTGTGATGCTTGTGAAAGAACAAAGCATACTAGAGTTCCGTTTCCAATAAGCCCGTCAAGAGCAACTTCACCATTTGCTTTGATACATGTTGATACATGGTGTCCTTATCACGTTCTTTCGCATTCGGGCACAAGATATTTTTTAAGCATTGTAGATGATTACATTTGATGTATTTGGCTATACCTGATGAAGTTTAAGTCAGAAACATTTTCTTGTTTCATTCTATAACATGGTAAAAACTTACTTCAAATGTAATGTTCAACAAATCAGATCTGATAATGGCAAAGAATTTTTCTCTGATCCCATTTAGTCATTCTTTGCACAAAATGGGATTGTGCATCAAAGAACCTGTGTCGATTCCTTGCAACAAAATGGGAGAGCTAACAGAAAACATAGGCACTTGTTAGAAGTTGCTTGCACTTTGCGGTTTCAAGCTTCACTACTATTTAGATTTTGGGGTGAGTGTGTGCTCACTGTAGCATATATAATTAATCATTTGCCAGTCGTTCCCATTCAAGGTAAGTCTCCAATTGAGATACTTTTTGGAAGGCCTCCCACCTTCAATCACTTGCACACCTTTGGGTGATTATGCTATGCCTAGGAGCGACCATTAGACACAAACAAATTTGCACCTCGGGCAACCTGGTGTATATTTGTTGGCATATGGACAGAAGGGATACTGAGTATATAACCTCGAGACTCATCGAATCTTCATCTCAAGAGATGTAACCTTCTATGAAGATATTTTCCCATATGCTAGTGATTCCTTTAACCAAAACTAGAATCCAAACATTGTGCTCCCGTTCCCTCAAACTGAACAACAGATGGAACCCACTCTGCTTAACCATTCAGACCAGTCCATTGAACCTGTGACATCTCAAGATAATGTTGATACTGATTTACATCCACCTCCCAAGCCTGTTGAATTGTCTCAGCCTCAACGCACTAGAAGACCACCCACCCACCTTAAGGACTTCATTTGTAACTTCCCACATTCCACATCCACCTCAGCTCTAGCCTCATCTGAAGCCATTGAGCCCAAATTATATACTCAGGTGGCACATGACCCAAATTGGCAACATGCCATGAATGAAGAAATACAGGCACTTGAGAGAAATAAAACATGATCCATAACCGACCTTCCTCTAGGAAAGAAGCCCATTGGAACAAAGTGGGTATACAAATTAAAATACTATGTCGATACCACAATAGAGCGCTATAAAGCCTGCTTGGTGGCAAAAGGATATAACCAGGTAGAGGGATATGACTATCATGATACATATGTGGCAAAGCTAGTCACACTCCGTTGTTTATTGGCTATAGCGGCATCAAAAGGTTGGAAACTTCATCAGTTGGATGTGAACAATGATTTCTTGAATGGGGATTTAGTAGAAGATGTGTACATGAACATACCTCTTGGTTTTCCCAAGCAACCACAAAATAAAGTTTGCAAGTTACACAAGTTCTTATATGGGCTTAAACAGGCCTCACGCTACTGGTATGAGAAGTTTGCAAATGCATTGACAAGCACTAGATTCAATCAGTCCACAGCAGATTACTCCCTCTTTACATTAAAGCAAGATGAATCATTCATTGTGGTTTTGGTGTATGTTGATGACTTGATCATAACGGGAAATGATCCATCCCGCATATATGATCTCAAGCAACATCTCCATGAATGTTTCTTATTGAAAGACCTAGGCCCGCTTAAATATTTCTTGGGCTTGGAAATTACACGCAGTGGTTCTAGAATTTTCGTATGTTAGAACAAATATGCTTTGGACATCATTTCTGATACAAGGATGGAGAATTTAAACCTGCATCGCATCCTATGGCATAGCAAAGACACTTTGTTGATGACAATAGCCCACTGTTGGATGATCCAAGTCAGTATAGGTGATTAGTGGGTCGATTAGTTTACTTGACAGTCACTAGGCCATAACTCAATTTTCCAGTACACATACTGACACAATTCTTGAGCAAGCCGTGCGCAAAGCATATGGAAGCTGCTAAAAGAGTGGTCAGGTTCATCAAAACCAATCCCAATCATAGCATATTCTTTCCAGCAAACAATGAAATGCTACTCTGAATCTATTGCGATTCTAATTGGGCCTCTTGCCCATTAACTCGGAGGTCCACTACAGGTTATGTTGCGTTACTTGGAAACTCCATCATTAGGGGTGAGCATTCTTTAACTGAATAAACCAAAATTTTTATAACCGAAACCGAAACCAAATAACAATAAAACTGAAATAACCATACTGAAATTTTCAGTTATTTCGGTTAAAAACCGAATTTAATTAATATATATATATATAATATTATATATTATAACCTATAATATATATTATTATAATATATTATGAAATTGAATTTCATTATAATACATTTTATATAATATATTAATATATTAATATATAAATATAGAATAGTATATATTAAATATTAAATATTGTATATTATATAATGAATTTTAGTTAATTCGGTTTTTTCAGTTAACCGAATTTCTAAATCTAAAAAGCGAAACCAAAATCCGAAATTGCTAAAAACCAAATTACCCAAAAACCGAAAAACCAAACTGAAAAAACCAAAATCGAAATTTTTGGTTCGTTAATTCGGTTTTAACCGAATAATGCTCACCCCTATCCATCATTTCATGGAAAACTAAGAAGCAATCAATTGTGTCACGCTTGTCTGCGGAAGCTGAATATCAGGCCATGACCGTTGCCACTAGTGAGTTATTATGGCTTAAACGCCTATTCCGGGACTTAAACATTCCCATTTTTGAGCTTATGGAGCTTTTATGTGACAATCAATCAGCCATAAACATTACTACAAACCCGACCTTCCATGAACGCACAAAATATATCAATATTGATTATCATTTTGTGTGTGAACATGTTCAAAACAAGATCATACAGCTCGGACATATCTCTAACAAGTGTCAGTCAACCGACTTTCTCACTAAAGCTTTGGCCGCAGAACAGTTGTCTTATCTCATGTCCAAGTTGAGTATCTCAGACGCTCCAACTTGAAGGGGCATATTAGAGATGAGGCGGTTATTGTGCAGCTGTCATTTGTTAGACAACTGGATGGTTGATTAAGTTGTCACGAGTTGTTTACAAGTTGTTATTCAAAACTCATCGCAATCATCGCAAAATCAATAAGATGGCATTCCTATTTTTCTTCCGCCCCTGTTTTGATATGCCCACTCCGGTCCAAGTCTGACAACATTTTCTTGCACCATCCTTAATTGCCGTACAGAATTAGAAGTCATTAGTTTTTAGTAAGATGAATACAGAGATCAACAGGAGGTTGATTGGCAGAAAAAAAACATATAATCTGAGGTTAGCTTCAATTTATACGTTTCAAGCGTAGCTGAAACCTTCTCATTTCAGACGATGATTTGGCTCGAGTCTTGTTCTTTTTTTATACCTACCAATCAAATAAGTGTTTATCCTACCAAACACTCGTGCGCACACTTATTTCAAATAGGGATAGTATAAGTATTTAAAAAATGAGGTAGAGAATGAAGAGGAAAAAAAAGCGCTTAAAAATAAATTCAAAATTTGGGTTTTATTTGTTTATTTTCAAGTATAAGTACTTATTTAGATTTATTTCTTTTTTTTTTTTTTGAAGAAAAGAAAGAGGTAGTATATTACACACAACCGGGGGGAGGGGGGGTGGTAGTACGTTTCCAAAAATCTACAAAAACAAATAAGAAGAAGGGATGGAAGAAGGGAATTGATACAAAATTTTAAGGAATAGAAGAAGAAAGAGATTCATGAACAAATCAATCTGCCGCTTGGTTAACTTCTCTAAAAATAAAATTTGGATTTATTTCTCAAAATACAAATAAACGCTTATCTTCCAAACTTGGCCTTAAATCACTATCTTGGAAGTCATTTAGGAAGCATGATATGATGCAACATAAGTTTCAAAGCCTAGTGTAGACAAGCATTTGCAGAAATCCGGAAAGCCCAGAAGGCCGCGGTTTAACTTCACCTATTAACTGGCTGAGTAGATGGTTCAACCGTTCAGCCAGTAACCTAAAAAGCTAACTGGGTAACTGGGTTAACATTTCAACTTCCAGCAAGTGACAACACTGGTGTAGACTCCAACTCCAATTTCTAATTTGAACGCAACAATAATCACAATGTCACCAGTTGATGTTAAACAAATCGAAGTATGCCGGCCGGAATGCTATCAACAATAATTCCATGAATCATAAATATGAATTAGCTGTTGCAGGGAACACGAGGAATTTTTTGATTCAGTAACAAGTATTAACAAATAAATGAACATCAAAGTACACCCCATTAAGACTCTCATCTGATTAACTTTGCAGCTACCTACTACCACTCTACCAGCCATCCTACAAGTATTGATACAGGAATTTCATCACAAAGACGATATCTGGATCAGAGGAGCAGACAACCGGAATTGATACCATACAACACTGCATGTTGACCATATTGACTGCTTGTAAGGGAGGGCTTTCACTGCTTTGCAAGGTAGAGCCCACCAGAAAGCCTATACCAATGTTTGATTGGAGGGAATTCTGAATTCCACTGTAAATCTACAATAACTTAAAATGTCGAACCCTTGTCATAAACACCAATACCCGTTCATGTATTGGCATCAATTCCAAGCTGACACCCCAACTGTTCTGTGAGACTAAAAATTCTGATAGTGGGCTGAACAGTCATTCTCCCTTGTTTATTTGTTCTTTACCCAGGCAAAGGTATGAACAAAGGACGTATGAATAAAAGAAACTCGAGGAAACACACTCATAAACATAGTTTTCCATCCATTCAGTTTAGGCTTCTCTTTCCCGAATCACTGGGCTAAACGTCAAACTTCAGTATAAAAACTCAATCTGCATTCATATGCTCCTCCAGAACAAGAACAAACGGAAAATGGATAGCACTTCCACATGTGATAGATGATGGAAACACTTGAAACAAAAACCAATTAATCATGAAATCACTCCATGGCTCTTCACCCCTACACTCAACCGAAAACAATACAGATATCCTGGATGCATTACTTCCCACAGAAAACAATTTTATTTCCATAAGAAGCAAAATCTCTTTATCTACAAGTAGGACATGTGCCCAGAATCAAGCACACTAAATTCCACCTATGTTCATCTCAAATTTTACCATGTCAAATTCTATTATTGTTTCTGAGCCGAACGTTCATACAGATCTTCCCTTCACTTTAACCCCCTAGGTAATGATACATTCTTCATTCGCAGAAAATCAAAGATCTTTCCTAGTAAAGAAGCCTTACAACAGGAAAGAAAAGCACTACCCACTTTACACTGAATCAACCCCTTCAACCTGCTGACGAGCCAGATATCTTTCTCTGCGCTCTTTCTACAAGAGAAGGAAGAAAAGAGGAAAAGGAAACCGTAAATATCATAGAAGGAAACAATTCAGGAAAAAACCATTCAACTAAATCAGATTCAGAGAAACGGGTTTACCCATTCATCTATGACTAGTCCTTCCCCAACAATTCGTGGACCCGTATCTTCTGGAGGTTTCTTACGTGCCTCAAGTGCAGCCTCGGCCTCAGCCAACTGTCGCTTCAATTTTTCCATTGCCTTAAGAGAAAAGGATGGATTAAAACCTTCTCGCTACTAACTAATGCAAATTTATTATTCAACTAGTAAAGAACAGACACACACACACAGAGGTCATTTAAATCATCCTTACAGGGCTGGGACGATCCGCATCTAAGAAGACAACCCGCAATATCTGCTCCACTGCAACTTGGTCCTTTTGCTCATCAAACTGCATCACAAAGTTGGATACATTTTTATACAAGACCAAGAAAACAGAGGCTTCCATCAATTTACACAACCAGTAAAGTTTCAGGGGTTAATGATTTAAATGACCGCCAAATGATACAGATGCTAAATTGACTCCAACTCGGTAAAAATGCATAACTGCAAACTGCTCTAGAAATGGATTTGCAGAAGCTCTGTACGTGTCATTCATTTTTCTTTAATTTCTGTTTTATTAGTAGTACGGACACCCATATACTACTAGCATTCTTTAATAATTTTTTTAATTATTGAAAGTGAGAAGATGTATTGTATAATGTGCACAAAAAAGGAGAGATTTACAAGTGCATATTTACAAGTGCATAGACTTGTTTACATAATAACTAATATTTCCTATTTTTGACCCTCAAAAAAACTAAGACTTCTTTCTTTCGCAAGAGAGAGCAAGTAATAACTAATTTGGATTAGCTGAATGTGATGGCTGTGTAGCAGGCAGTGCAACCAATGATACCACCTCACACCAGCCATAAATGCTAAGTGAGAGAGTTGGTGGTTGTGGGTTTTATGGCTTGTGTGGAGCGTTATCATTGGTTACACAGACCATTACACGGACTGACAGACATTGTGTTCAGCTAATCTTATCTCAGTAACAGTGCTAAGGTCCGCAAACAGATCATGAGATTCAGGATTATATAAACTTGTGGAAATACAATATTCTTTTCAATAAAACATCTATGCTCATGTCACAGGTTTTTCCATTACAAAAACAGATCTTTAGCAGGATTTGGGATTCAAAAGGACAAAAAGAGAATCTTTCATTGAACGGTATCCAATGGGTATTCCAGGGAATTGGATCTCGAAAGTTAACACAAGACTGGACCACCAACCAAGACTAAAGTCCTAAACTAAGAGCTTTTAGCAACCACTCTGGTTTCATCATCCAGTTTAGGTATATCAGCATGATTTACGTACTTGAAAGAAAACTCCACTGAAATTTTTCTTGTTCACAAATCATAAGTCCTTTCAATAATCCCACTTTTTTCCCTGATCATTGATATTCTACTTTTCTACACAGAAGTGACTATTACCCACCCATCAGGAGAAAAGGAAAAGTGATTATAATTAAGACAAGTTAACTTGATGGTTCCTTTTAGATATTAAATTAATATTCAATTGGTAAAATTACCATCGAGATGTCAAAAGGTTTAGTTCTCCTGATTTTAACAACTAGGACAAATAGGTAAACATTAAAAACAGGTTGTACTTACCAGCTCAGGTACATAATCCATTCCGCCCTTCACTTTTAGGCTCACAATCTTAAACTTCACCTTGCACTTCTGATCTAATTGTTTCTCATTGTTTTCTGGATGTTCCACAAATTTGAAAACTAGCAGTTGAAAGTAAAGTGAGTAGAAAACATAATAAAGAAAGTAAATAATTAAGAAGAGAAAAATGTAAGGCGGATGGCCATACACAACATACATCAGACATCATCCCAACCACCTAAACTAGCTTCCTACAAAACTAAGGATGAACCCCATAAGGAAAAGGGAGGACCAAGTAGAATGTTATTACCAGTTGCAATAATACTTTCGCCAGGAGCAAGGATACCCCCTGGAGGACGCATGAAACAGCTCTTTGGTGCAGTTGTTTGAAACTAAGACAATATTACACAGATAGCCAGTCAAATTCCCCATTCTAGAAATGGTGGTAAAAGCAAGCAAAACAAGGATAAGAGTGTCATATGATGAAACAAAATCCAAGACAACAGGTTTGATTTACCATAGCAATTGAAAACATGAATAAAACATATTAGCAGACCATGTACAATATTTTAAAAGTTTCATATTAGGAGCCTAGATTGCTAGGATAGAAGTAAATATATAAAAGTAGGAAACGAAAAAACACGAATTTTGTTCTATACCTTGAAAGCTACACGAGACTTGCTGGTGTTTTTAATTCTAACCGCGCTTCTGACTTGTTTACCAGGTTCATCTTCAACAGAAGCAAGTATGAAAAAACCAATAGTTAGGCAAGCAGAAGGAAATCCAGCAAACAGAGGAGATCGAACTAGATAAATATTACTATTTCTGAAGATGATAAGAAGTATTAAGGTCGAAAAGAGCGAGAAAAGAGGAATTTTCCGTGTTAAAAGTACAGAATAAGCTTCACAAAGCCAAGACCGAAAGGGAATCAAACCCCACAGTCTTGTATGTCTCAGAAATCAGAAAATTAATACAAAAAAGAAGCTAGAAAAGTCAATCAAGTGCTCCATGTTATTTAAAGCGTCCAAATCTAACAATATGGTAGAACAAACATAATTTCTAGCTTGTAGTAACTAGGGCGAGATGAAGGAAACACTCAATTCAAAATAGAAAAGAAATTATAAAAAAATGGGAGTTAAAATCTAATTTGGTGAACTAATTTGAACATCAAAGGAGGAAGAGAAAAAAAGAAGTGAATATCAACTTGCAGAAAGAAAAGCGACCAAGATCAAATATTAGCAAATATTTGCAAAACCCAATTGTCCAAATCGATCAAAGCGGGAAAAATTAATTAAAACCAGCAGATAAAATCAGGAGAAGAAAAAAGAAAAAAAAAAAAACGAGAAAAAGGAAAACTCAAGTCAACGACGAGGAAATCAACCCAACCCAGATAAGACGTACATGGAAAGTATAACTTGTTCGCCGGATCGAGACGGAGACGACGCCGGGTTGGAAGTAAGGATCTTGCAACGGATGAAACCGTGTTCAATGAATGGGGATTGGATCCATCGACGTGTTGGTGGTGATGATTCTGGGGCTGAAGACTCTGAGAAGAAGATGAAGAAGAAGCATTCCCCGATTGCCAAAAGGGCATTCGACACAGACTCCAGACCTTCCCATGGGTCGACGTTTTATCATCTGCGATAGCCATCATCTATCTTAAACCAGACCCAATTTACTAGTAATCGGTTTTTCAGTCCATCAAAAGGACGTTAACAATTCTCCTCCTGCGACCAGATTTTTAGCCACAGCCAATATGAAGATCTTGGGAGCAGAAGTTTAGATATCTCAGATCGTCTTTTTGGCGCTCTCTTCCTGTCCCTCTCTTTGTATTTGTTTCCACCGCCTCTCTCTCCCTCTCTCTCTTCCTTTTTGCTTACCAGTTTTGATTGGGAAATGGCAGTGGCAACTTTACTCTGTGTCTTTAGGGAGAGGATGTGCTGGTAAGCGTCAGACAGGTCGGATCTCAAAACAGGAATTCAGTGTATTTGAGTCGTGAGTTTCAAGTCCGTGGATTTGGTTTTGGTTCCTTTTTCAGTTTTCACACTCCACTCTCTTCCTGTTTCTCGCTCGGTCCTAACCGTAAGGGGGATTGGGCTTGGGCTTGGTGAGCCACCCATCTCCACCGTGGCTAAAATGACCACGTGGCAGACCGGGTGGCTGTCTTAAAAGATAAGGCCCCAAATTTCTAACTCTTCTTTAGCCACGTGTTCCATAATAATTTCTGTAATTGAAATTTTACAAATGTCTCAACAAAGATGGTCCGTTTAAAGAAATAGAGAGGTTGGATTTGCCACGTGGCAAATAACTCGCCCGCAGATTATCCAGTTAATTGACAATTTAATTTTATTACAAAATATTTGAAGTTTGAAGGGAGAGGAAGGACAAAAGACTTGAGAGTTTACAGGCAAGAGCTGGATTGTTGAGTTGAGAAAACGAATAGGGTGTGTGTGTGTATGCTGGCGGTAGCGGGTATTGCTGCAGTGATTGGGCAGTTGAGCGAATAATGACAATGTAGCGTTCCAACTCCCAACCGAACAGCAGCAAAGTAGCAACAGCTCAGTGGCTGTATTGCACCACCATCAAACGACTGTCAAGCAGTCGGAGTGTTTGATCTTTTAGTGCTTCTCCCCGCCAATCAAGCCTCTAGAGTGTTGAGTCTCTCCCGGTTGAGGTTGCATCTAAGACGCAAGCTGAGATCCCGATCAAAGGTTATCCGTCGGATCAACAATAACAGTTAATCTGTTTAGTATTTGGCCTTATCTGAAGTCATTTTCTTACAAGGATTCGGTGATAGGCCAGAAATGCTAGCTGGATAAACACTTGAAAAAAAAAAAAGAATTTTAGGGAAAGTAAGATACCCCAAATCCAGAATCAGAACCTGAAAGTACCTAATTTGTGCTATTAATGCGAGGCGCGCAGCTTATAAGTCAAACCCCTTCTTCATAAAAATATATATATATGGTGATTGGTGCCCCTTACCCTATACCTTTACCTTTGGGAATAATTAAAAAGTTTAAAACTACTCCTGTTTTTAAATCCGAATGCTTTAAAATCATGTGTCAGTGGATGATGATAGAGACACCAGCAAATAACTATTGGCAAGAATAAGAGTCCTTTCTTTTTTGCAGAAACAAGGGTCGGGAATTGGGAATTGGAATCAGAAATGAATCATTACCATTTATTATGGAATGGCAATCCTCCATCTTGAAGATGAAATCCTATTTAATTCTCATCTACACCAATTCCGACCGCAAACCTAACCCAGCCTAAGAATCTAAGATTACATTAATTAGATTATGGGTCGGTCGGATCGCTTCATCAATAATTTGAGTTAACAGGGATTCAGAAACGAGGGATGTCGTATGGAAACTTGATGGATAGTGAGCAAATAATGGCCATACAAAGGAAACAAGCTAACGGGCCGGCCATGGTAATTGGTAACGACACGACATATAGTTAGATTAATCAACCGCGCGACTTTTCTTTTCCCAAGTCAAGTTGACGTCGACGGTCGACCCCCTTTTCAGCATCACCTGAGCAACTTGAGAGTAAAGTGGTTGAGGTTGACCCACTCAATAAAAGGAAGTTAGTTTAGATCTCAAGAGAGAAGCGTCGTAGCAACCAGATACCACAAGTCCAGACTGCAACAAATTTTGTCATTCATATTCATGCAACGACCGGGTTTTTGTTTGCGACAAGATTTGTATGCAATAAATAAAATGAACTATAACAAATCAGCACCGATCGATCGAGCTCCATATACGAAACCTAAATGCTGCATGTGAAAGGAGGATTCACACTTGGGCAGTTGAAACTTGGAACATTGCTTACTTTTCTCCTTTGGGTTTGTATGATGCATTAGTGCTTTGGCTTACTTTTCTAAACCAACCCCGTCAAAAAATCTCTATTAGGTATATATGAACGTTTTCTAAATTTATTATACTACCCTTCCTTTTGAACACGAGGGTCTCACTGTTCAAAGGCATAAATTTTCAAAACATGATAACTGCACACATCGTCTGCCCCGCCAATAGGAAACTGCCACGCCTTTTATCTATATTTGAATTCAATTTAATGGAGTCAAGAGGTAACTTGGGTGTGGATTTCAAAAACAATTAAGCATGTGTTTGGTTCACTACGTTTTTTTCATTCAAAGTTTCTATTTATTACTATCAAAAGTAAGAAAGATAATATATGTATTTGGTTCCGTGTAAATACTACCATATAGGCACCCCATCAACAAAGGGCCTTGTGTCATAAATGTCTTTATGAATTGTTTTTCTCAGTTTCGGAATCAAATAAATACAAAATATTTACTCAATAAACATAAGCGGAACCAAATACCCTAAAAAATTATAACCCTTTATGACAATTAGGTGCTGTTAGGTGCCACTCTCAGCGTAACAATGAAAAAACGTCTAATGTTCGTAAAAACTTTAAAAATAACTTCTCAAACAGTAGGCGTACACAAACGCGTTTATTGAATAAACGCGCACCTAACCATACACCCTGTAAATCCTCTTGAACTGGTTTCTTTGTCTCTCTCTCTCTTCCCTCGCATTATAAGAGTTTTATTGTTATCAAGGCTGTATCCGAGCGCTTGGCGCATCCAAATCTTAGAAGAGCAACCAACAAAAAGGAACTTCATGATGGCCTCCACTCGGTGTTGGAGGCAACTTGAACTGATCTTTTGTCTTCTCCGCTCTTCACTACGTTCCTGAATCAGTGAAACCTTCTTCCCAAGTCTTATCATTGGATGCACTCGAGAGAGACGAAACCTCTCTAACTTTCGAAATAATTTTCGGACCTTAGTTTTAACTTTTTAACTACACAAGTATAATAATACGAGTGGCAGAGTTAACCCGTAAATCCACGACCCGGCCCCCTCCATCAATTGCGACCTAGGAATCTTCCCTTATTTGAGATGCGCATGAGAACGTCATATGAACACCTGAATGAAATAAGGGCGGTTATCATTTTCATCTCAATTATTGTGTTACTAGGGTTTCTTCTTTCCTTGAGCTTGCCGACAAGCATCATAGCTCAAAGAAGATGAAAACGAAGAGAAGAGTTTGATACCAATCTGGTATCAGAGCCTAACGATCTTCCGAGAAAACCGATGGAGGACCTGGAGCGAAGGATGAGCTCAATGAAGTGGAACCAAGAGACGATTCAGAAATGGCTAAATGAGATTCTCACTAGAATGGGAGTGAAGGCTGCTTCTGAAGGGGGGTCACAATGACTGTGGGGAGGGGGCTCACAACAACAATAGGAAGACTCTGCTCAGGGAAGTGGTCCGTCGACTAGCTCCTTGCGACGCCTGAAGGTGGAACTACCAAGATTTGACGGTTCCAATCTGCTCAGGGAACCACTCTAATTCGTGCTATTCGGCTGGCCCTTTTGGAGGAGGAGTGGCTAGCTAGGAGGAGTAACCGACCTGACATACCCAGGTCCAAACCGCAACAACACCCCCAAACGACTAAAGTGCTTGAGATGAAGAAATTATCTCCGACAGAAGCTCGAGAGTGTAGGGCCAAGTGCCTTTGCTACAATTGTGATGAAGTTTATCCCCACCAACACCGGTGCAAGACACAAAAGTTCTTCTGGATTGTGGGGCCGGACATGGATGTGGATCAGTTGGAGCCTCTAGAAGCAGACAAGGAGCAGCAGTTTGAAGTTGAAGCTGAACCGGAGATTTCCTTGCAAGCCTTATTGGGTACTAAGTCATCCCAAGTCATACACCTATCTGGTAACCTTCTAAACCATCCCTTGTTGATTTTGATTGACAGTGGGTCGACCCACAATTTTCGTGGACCCCAAGATAGCTGAGAAAGCTAATATTCATCCAACTGTGGACTCTTCATTTGAGGTAATGGTAGCAAGTGGAGAGAAAAATAAAGGGGGCAAGGAAGTGTCTTCAAGTCCCCATTAAGGTTAAAGGAACAACCAATAATAGTGGATTTTTACTTATTGCCGCTACCTGGATATGATGATGCTCTGTTAGGGATTAATTGGCTCAAGTCATTGGGCCTAGTGGTGTGGGATTTCTCTGCAATGAGCTTACAGTACCAAGACCTGATGGTGATGGGTACTCATTTGTTAAAAGGGGTTGCAAGGCCCAAATCACAGTTTGTGGACCCAAACAAAGCTGGAAAGTCCCTTCGTAAGGCCCATATGGTATTTTTGATTCATGAGTTGGAAATCCAGTCACTATTGGACGAGTACAAGGATGTATTCCAGGAACCTAAAGGCTCGCCACCCTATAGGACGTTTCATCATGCAATTCCCTCACTAAACCATGTTGATCCTATCAATGTGAGACCGTACAGGTACCCACATTTTCAGAAAAACGAAATAGAATCCTTGATACAGAGTATGCTGAAAGAAGGAATAATTAGGCCCAGTTCCAGCCCATTTTTCAGCCCCAATATTACTTGTTAAAAAAAAAAAAAAAAAGACGGGGGCTAGAGAATGAGTGTGAATTATCAAAACAAGGTGAGAGTAAAGGTTAAATTTCCAATGCCAGTTATAGATGAACTGCACTGAGCTAGGGTGTTTTCCAAGCTTGACTTAAGATCCGGGTACCATCAAATCCGGATTAAAGAGTGGATGAGTAAAAAACTGCCTTTTGTACCCATGAAGGGCACTCTGAGTTTTTAGTTATATTGTTTGGCCTTACTAATGCACCTTCATGATGAACGATATCTTTAAGAGTCACTTGCACAAGTTCGTCTTGGTGTTCTTTGGTGACATATTGGTGCACAGCGGCTCCCGTGAAGAACACTGGACGCACCTCTGGGTTGTACTTGATATTTTAAGAAACCATCAACTATATGCTAAGAGAAGTAAATGCCATTTTGCTAAAGATCAAGTGGAGTACTTAGGGCACATTGTATCAGCGGAAGGTGTAGCTGTGAACTAAGATAAGATCCGTTGCATGTTAAAGTGGCCCATACCCGATTCACTGAAAAGTCTTGTGGGTTCTTAGGCCTGACTGGCTATTACAGGAAACTTATAAGGAACTATGGCGTCAACGCTCAACCATTGACCCAATTGCTTAAGAAGGGAAGTTGGGGTTGGAACCTCCAAGTTGAGGAAGCATTCAACGCCCATCAGTGCAAATTTATTTGCATTGCAACCAAATACAGCCTTAGGCTTAGTTTTGAAGGAGTACAAATACAAGTATGTACAGTACATATACATATACATAGAAAATAAGGGTTTTGCACTTTACATATTTATATTTGTACACTAACAAAACAAGCCACACCATCCCCACAGGCTCTGTCTCTGTCACCCGCCTGCAACAAATTGGAAATCAAAATTTTTTATAATCCATTCTAAGGATCATGGTGTCAATGTTTAATTTGTGGATATCCATCACTTTCTTCATTATGGTGCCTTCCATCTTTCCCCATCAAGTGAATTGAGAATGCTCTAAATGCTGAAAGTAACTGGCTTATGATCATTCATCATAGCTTTGAATTCAAATCTTTCTCTCTCTCTCTCTCTTGGTTAAAGGACAACTAAGTCCTCATCTCACGATTCTGGTATCAAAACCAACAAGCCACCAAATCAGCAAGTTGGTTATCTGCAATTTATGGATTAAAGGTTGATACATAACAAAACATATTCTCACAACAATGCAAAAGATAATAGACCAGAAACTCATAATCCAAAAGACTAAAATTGGAATTCTGAGTCATCCCATTGAAGAACTGCAGACTCCAAGTTCTGCTCTCTCTTGAGCTTGTCCTTGAGAAACCAATCACAGATCCTCCCGGCATTAAGCTCCTCAATCGGAAGCCCTTCTTGCTCCGATATGACTCGAAGTAGATTAAGTGATGAGATCTACAAATTAACACATGTAGCACACATTATATCACCCAAAATCTGAAATAATCTGGAAAAAACATCTCTTTTCCCATTCTTCTTTCCATTTTCAACAACTCCTTTTGATTCAATGTAAAATCGGCGCACATTTTTTTCATGCGGAAAGGTTTAAAGTATGTTTTAATTTACTTGTTTTACAATGAAAACTTGATCTATTTATCATTTACATAAAACAAATACAGACAAGCAACGAAGCAAAAAACAAAGCTTTTGCTACAAGAGACGTGAAAACACAATAATTGAAATATTTTCAGTCTGAATAGTTTTTCGGCCATTACATGAAGAAATTAACAAATGCAGCCATAATGAAGAGAAAAATGCTTAATTAATAAATGCATTAGAAAGAGAGTTTAAATCCATCATACAAAATTGTCAGTTTTCTCATGTCATGTCTAGAATTGTCCCCATATATAAGAGTTCAATTATTTGTTAAACAGTAAGTACTAACATCCCATCTATCAAAGAAAAAAAAAATAAAAGTAAGTATTAACATTCCAACTACTTTGAAACATAAAACAATCTGTCTTTTTTTCCCCACCCTTTCTTCTTGCTTTTTGTCTAACTCTTTTTTTTTCTATCAAATAATGGAAACCAAATCAGCTCCCCACAAGACTGCCCCCACAACTTCTTACACATCTTCACCGTGTATTGAGAACATTTCCTGATGATGACATCATCATTCCTAATATTATAATTGGGAGATATTCCCAATACATTGACTGGGAATGTGCTGTGGGATGTTGTGGGGGGCAGTCTCATGGGGGCTGATTTGAACTCCAAATTAATGTTGTCATAAAAAAGCAGTTGCAGTATTATTCCTCGGATCCTTAAAATTAAAAAGAAGGAAACATCCTCCCAAATGTGGGGTTGTCGAAAAAGGAATCTCCTTTTATTAAGAATGCTAAATCTACAATGCAGTGAAAATTTTGTAGTTTGTTAGTGGAGATAATGGGCAACGTTTAAACTGTGTTTCAATCAGTCTACATTTGCGTAATCAAATTCTATTCCAATTCCTGGAAATTCAAATGATCAGCCTCTCAGGAAATTTTAAATCTAAGTGTGTATTCCAAAGACATTTTCTATAGAATGTTATTTAATTTTTTGAATTGCCCCTATTTAAGCCCTATTTGATGATTAAGTACTTGTTAATTCACAAGTACTTCTTAGAAGTACTTGTTTTAACAACCCTTTATCCTGTTTGGTAACTCACTTTTTCAAATCACTTATTATGTTTTTAAGTACTTATTAGGTGCGAATGTTTGGTAAGTTACTTTCCCCATAAGTACTTATATTTATACAAATGACAATTTTAGCCTTCACTTCTCTTATATATATATATATATATGTTATGTTATACATTTTAAGTGAGAATCCACATGGACTCCACTTCATGACAACTAAGAGTCCATGTGGACCCCACATGGACCCCACTTCATGGTCAGCACTATTTTTTACTGTCAATGGCCCGATATCAAGCTCAGTACATCGGTCACCGACGTCATTGGTACACCGGTTGTTGGCCATCAATGTCATTGGTACACTAACTGTCGGCCAGTACACTGGCCGTCGACTGGTACATCGGCGGTGGCCGACGTCGTGTTGGCGGAGAGATAGAGACAAGGAGAGAGAGAGGGAGAGAAAAATAAGAGAATGAGAATGGGGGTATTTTAGGTATTACAAGAAAATATTAGGGACTAGTTTGTTCCATTTTTTTGGAGAAGTACTTCTTTAAAAAGTATTGAAAAATAAAAACCAACTTCAAGTCAATTTTTTAAATAAGTACTTCTTTAAAAACAAGTACTTTTTACCCACTTTTTTACCAAACACCCATAAGTACTTAAAAACCACTTAATGTGTGGTCCCATGTCTTAAAAGTACTTCTTTCAAGTGTTCTCAAATAGGGTCTTAGACCATGTTTGGGAGTGCTTAAAAATAAGTGTTTATTCAAAATATGTGTATATTTGGGCTATTAAGCACTTATTTTTTTTCGCTTCATGGGGCTACACAACAGGGGGTAGCTATTAAGCACTTATTGGTATTTAGGAAATAAGCCTGAAATAAGTGTTATCTTAAAAATAAAGGCTTATTTTTTAATATAAGAACTTATTCAACTTTTTTCTCCTAAAATTATCCCTAGTTGAATTTTATAAAAGTACTTTTATGAAAGTACTTTTACGAAAGCGTTTTTATGAAAGTACTTTTATGAAAGTGCTTTTATAAAAGAACTTTTATGAAGGCACTTTTATAAAAGTACTTTTATGAAAGCATTTTTATAAAAGCACTTTTAAGAAAGCACTTTTACGAAAGTACTTTTATGGAAGTACTTTTACAAAAATACTTTAAGGGAAACACTTTTACAAAAGTACTTTTATGAACACTTTTGCGAAAGTACTTTTATGGAATCACTTTTATGGAAGTACTTTTATAAAAGTGCTTCAATAAAGTGCTTTTGTAAAAGTACTTTCATAAAAGTACCTTCATAAAAACGTTTTTATAAAAGTACTTTCACAAAAGTGTTTTTATAAAAATGATTTAATAAAAGTGCTTTCAAAGGGTATATTTTGAAAATTTGAAAGAAAATGGAGGACCAAATAGTCACAAATGTTTATTTAAGTACTTATTAGAGAAAAAGACTACCAAACACCCAATACAAAATAAGTGCTTATTTTTAAAAATAAGCACATGAAAAAGTTGGGTACCAAATGCAAATAAATGCTTATTTGAATAAGCACTTATTCAATAAACACTTATGTTAAGCACTCCCAAACATGGCCTTATTAGACTTGGGATGCAACAAAGCCTCTTATGAGTAACTACAAAGCTTTGAAAAAACCTTGAAAGAGAAAACTACTTTTATAAAACAACAAGAAAACAAAAGCTGTATATATATATATATATATGTATATATATAGGGTGTTTGGTTCCATTTACGTTTATTCAATAAAAGTTTTGTACTTGTATGACTGTAAAACTGAGGAACACATTTAATGATGACGTTTATAACACATAGGCGCCATTAGGCACCACATCAGCAAAATGCCAATAAACACCTACCCGTTTCAGGAAGCTCCAAAATGAAGCTTTCTGAAACGGGAGAGACGCACATAAACTGAAGTTTTCTTTTGCAAACTTAGATACACACAAATGCAATTAATGATGCATTTGGTGACGAGGCACCTATGTGGCATCGTCAATAAATATTTACCCAATAAACGTAAACGGAACCAAATATATACATAATCAATTAATTAATCAAATCAAATCGATGTAACATCCACAAGTTTCTAAATTATATTCCACTCTAGAACAAATGGAAGAGTTGTAAGTTTGGCGAATTGATGCTTCAGTTCTATGTTTCTATCCCCAGTATCCAGCTCTATCCTGACCCGCCAAACACAAGAGTAACCGCAGAAAATGTTTGGCATTTGAATGCTATTAGCCGTAAGCTACAAGGAGGGAATGTATTAATATGTAAATGCAGTTTTGTTAGTATGGATTGAGGACTACTATGTTCATCCAACTCGCCCGTCCAAACTCATCATTCCCATTTAGAGAAGTGGATTTGACTTGGACCGTGGGTTCTTAGCCTCTTACCTAGCGGTTACCTTGGGTCATACGAACGTGTTACGGTGTTAAACGGTCCGTCCGGAAAGGACCACATAACTTGCAGTAAAATCCGAATTTGATCCGATTGTTGAAAAATTACATTTAAATCCGATCTGAAATCTGATTAGATTTGAAGGCCTTGAAATCAAAATTAAATCCTAATGAGCTTGGATAATTTGGATTTAATCTAGTTCTGTTTTATTTTTTATTTTTTTTATTTTTTCAATATAAAAAAATTATTTTTTAACTTTTATAGATAATAAATTAAGATAAATTTATATGCTGAATTTATTATATATATATAACAATATTTTATTTATAAGTATAAATATAATTATATAAATTTTATATATTAAAATTAATAAATATTATAATATAATCAAATGGTCAAATCCAAACACACAGAATAATTAGATTGGATGTAAAACAGGTCACGAATTTTCGAATATCATTATTAACAATTGACAGGACTATTTGCTATAAATGCATGCTTTGCTGTCTCGAGTGCCATATGTAGGTCGTAACTCCTGTAACAGACCTCACATAAGTTAATAATTTCTCAGCAGTCAGCATATAACAGATATAGTATATCCTCATTTTGTGAGGTATATATAGACTTACAGTTTGAAAAGTTAGTAATTACATTCAATCCCGTTGAATTTGAGCTGAAAAAAAGGTATCACAGCCACAACAAAAGCAACATGAGACAATGACGTGGCTCACCAAGCCAAGAGGTTACCGAGGCTAGAAATCTAATCTGGCTATCTACAACAAGTTTAGAGGCACCAATCCCCTATTTTCCAAGGGTATTTTAAGGCACATGTGTCCAAACAAAAATCGCTGGAGTGCACTTACTCAGTGTGCTCACAGTATGTGCTAAGGGAAATGATGATTGATATATAATGATGGTGCTCTCGAACCTCATCAAGTCACCATCAGTGCTCCGCTATGTGTCACTAGTTGACCCAAAAGCTTAAGAGTTAGAGAGCCACATTTTTGTTGAGTAAATGAGATGCCGCCCATTGGATCAGTACTGATCTTATTTGGTTTGAACAAATTCATTCAGTTCACACTGTGTACACTGTCCTCATGCTTTCTAAGAGCCATGAATTTGATTTGGAAGATCAGACTCATCAGGAGGATAGTTTGTTGATGATGAGAGCCATGAAAAAACTCATTGGCAACATGATGATACCAAGTAGTAGAATAAACAGTCACTTCTTATAGGTATATCTGAAAATATTCTAGAAAATCTGAACTGTTAGTCGATTATAACAAAGCTGGCGTGGAAATGCAAGTTGGCCAAGTGGGTTAACTTAAATCTGTATATATACATATATATATATGTATCA